TGTAATGTTAAGATGTAAATCTTTTCATCTATACTGTTAGATTCTCAGTTGACTCTTTTAATCTGAAAAATAATGCCCTCTTCTCTGTTCCTCATATTCTTTGTTGAAAAATTTCTCCTCTTCTACTCTTTTTGACTCTTTTCCTGGGGTTCTTGTCTGTCTTATGAGAACTCCTAGCTTCTTTCTCAAATTTGTAAGGCAAGCTATATTTTTCTCCCTACATCCTTGGGAGCATCTTTTACTTTATTTTGTAAATTTCTAATTTTGACAATAATATTGGAAAATCTAAGTGCGAAATTTTGTTTCAATTGTGTATTTCTGCACGGCATTCTGTTCTTTTTCTGTTCTGAGTTATCTTCATTGTTTTTATTTTTAAAATCCTTTATTTAGTTCTCATATTTCTGGTGATCCTCTGGTTGATCATTCTTTTACAGAAAAAAGATCTGGATGCCTGGCTTTGATTTTTCTCTGTTGTTAAGGATGTTTTCCACTCTTACTGGATCTACTCTGAATGAGAATGCTTGGAAATGCAGGTGAAGGTAGTTTCACTGACAGTCTTTATGACATGGAAGCATAGACATGCTATGGGCCTCTCATATGCAGGAGTATGGAGGGCTTTGCACTGGGGCACAAAAATCTGAATTAAAAATTTTTAACTTTCCCTTTATAGCTTTCTTGAGTTTTTTAAAAGAACTGGTTGATGCTGGCTAAATGCTAGCTGTACTCTCCTTTCACAAAGCTTGCTTAAATGTTAGTGCAGATCCAAACTGGACTACTTGTTCTATACTGAGACATTCAATCCTTCTTCTTAGTCCTATTTCTAGTCCCTGTTCTGTGTCTCTCATAATCACTGACTTTAAGATCAAAGGCTCTTGGTAGGCAAAACAGGCCAACTGGCATCCACTTGCTCTTACTCTCCTTCTAGAATAATTTAGGCTTCAGCTTTCTCTACCTCTTTTATCCATCAACATGATCTCATCCATGTGGCCTGTACATTTGTTGGAAATATCCCATTCATTAGTGATGCTCACTTCCATTCTTTTCATTCATAATGAAGTTTTTTCGTTTGTTCAATTTTTATACTTTTATTTCAGTGGGGTTTCAGGTGAGTTTGAAGGCAATATATGTACTCAAAGCCAAAAATTAAATTATAACTTGAAATTACTATACAATTTCCCTATAATTTATTTAACCAATGCCCAACTTTTGGACAAATCTTTCTAATAGTTTTCACCATTATAACTATTTGACCTTTTTATTTGGAAAAGAGAGGTTAAAGATAGGCCTGCAGGGCAGTACATGAAATAATGAGAAGCTGAACGCCTAGTCTTAACAGAGGTAACCTTTGGAAGCAATGAACAGACAGAAAATTCAAGTTAAACCGAAGTTAGGGATCCCTTACAAAGATTTTCATGGGCTTTAGGTTAGAATGCCATGTAGGAAGTTAAGAGCTCTTAAGAGTACCGAAAAGATTAAAAAATCTTTATAGATCTTTGCTTATGAAAATTGTGAACATTCCTGATTAGTCCATAGGAAAAAAATTTAAAGTGGGATTTCTCCATCAAAGTATGTGAACACTTAAAAGTCTTGATATTTTGTTGACAAATTTCCCCCAGAAGGATTGCACCAATTTACACTCCTACCAGCCACCAACCTTTTAAAATCAAACAAAAATTCCCACATGATTTGCTATTTTATAAGCAAAATTTTATCTTGTTATTTTTATATACATTTCTTGGATTATAACTGATATTGAATGTTATCTATATAATATTACTCAGTGCTCAAACTGACCTTCAATAGGTACTGCTTTGTCTTAGAAATGTGTAGACTGAGGCTCTGAGACCTTAAGAGTCCTAAAGTTCACCCAGCTTGTACATATTTAAAAACAGATGAGAACAGAGATATTACCTTGCCAAAGCATTTCAGAACATGTGACTTACCTTGCTCATAATTTTTTAGATGAAAGATCAGATTAGTCATTTTCTTTGGACCTTAGATATAAATGATTATGTCAAATATTTTCTATTCTTTGAAACTAACGTATTTTGTGAGCCCTTTGTTTTCTGCATGCAAATGTTATTCAGAGAGGGATGTCCCTGCTATGTAGGATTATTGCACAGGGTTGCAAGGACAGATTTTCAAATAGCTCATGGGAATTTAGCTTTCTCTGATATCTCGGCATCACTTTATTTGTCCCATTGCAGTCTATGTCTTTATCCTAGCAAGTGTGAAAAAATTGCCAAGTAATAACCATTTTACCAACCTAAATTCCTGATGTTTTATGCAAAAGGTCAAATACTCTTCATTCTAAACTGGTGGTATAGTCTTCAGTGTAGATTTGGAAGCTACCAAGAAAGTATGGCGTACAGTGGGAGTAACACAAGTTGAACTGCTCTTCAAATTTACTTTGGCTGGACCTGAAAAACTAATTCCCTCATTCGGTCACTGCATGGAGGTTAAAAGTCCAGGATCTTAGTACTGATATGCACAATGTGGATGAATCTCAAAAATATTATGCTAAGTGAAAGAAGCCAGACACAAAAAGTCACAAATTATATATGATACTATTTATAAGGAGTAGCCAGAATAGATAAATCCATAGGGACAGAAAGTAGATTAATGGTTGCCTGGGTTTGGGAGGAATGAGGAGAAGCTGCTTATTCACTTTAAAATGGTTAATTTTATGTTATGTAAGTTTTACCTCAATAAATTATTATTATTTTTTTAATCCAAGTTCTTGAACCCAACAGACATGAAATTGGAATATGCCTCTATCGTTTTCTGTGTAAACTTGGGCAAGCTCATTTTAATTACCTAACTTTAATCCTTGCTTTAACACTTAAACCTGCATTCCCTTCAGTCTCCTAATCTGGAAACAGAGATGACTGACCGTCTACCTACCAGACAGGATTGTTGTGAGAACTGTATGCAATGATATATTACTACACAAAGCCTTTGGTGCAGTGGTTGACACATCACAAGTTCTTAAGAAATGGTAGCTAGACTATGATAACTATTACTACTACTGACTTGCTGCTACTACTGCTACTACCGGCAGCAGCAGTAGCTGCAGGAGCTGTATTCCAACCTAGGTTCCTGATATATTCAAATGACTATTTTCCATTCTGTAGTCTGGTTTCAGGTCATTCACGTGGGGTAAAGTCACATGATACTGACTTCAGGAAGCATATATTGCCTCAATGGAGTTCTTCTTTTGAAAGATGGGTTTTAGATCAAAACTGTTTTTAATTAATGTCAAAACAGAACAGAATTGGAGAGAGCAATGAGTAAGGTTCAGATCCCTAAACCATCACATTATTGGCATTCTTGGGAGAGCTGTGAACCTTACCTCCCACTGTGTGCTATGGTTGATTTCTCCCTTACTTTTCAGTAAGGGACAGACCCTTGAAAAGGTAGTCATGCACTGGGGCATTTAAAAGAAATGTAAGAAGAAAACAATGAATGTCACTAAGCTTCAGAGAAGGGAAAACTTTAGCCATCAGTTGAAAGTTGTCCCTCTGTAGTGGATCGAATGTGTTACACAAAGGTGCATCTTGACGGTGTTAGGAGACCCCTGTCCTCCATCACTGTCAACAATAGCATGTACACAAGTACTTTTATTAATGAAATTCTCCAAAGAATTCAAAGCTCATTTGCTGCTTTACTGATGGACATTCTTTTACCCACTCATGCTTTGGTTTTATTTGTTCTTCCTATGGACTCCTCAAATCAAGAGAAAGCCAGAAAAAAAAAGTTTTGAGAGAGAAATGTCTTGTTTTATAAAATCTTCCTGTGACTACTATCTCATTTGTTCTCCTGAAGCTGAATCAAATGAGACAGAAAGGACAGCCAACATAAATACCACTTACTCAATGTGATAACAAAGGTAAAATTAGTTGAAACAACATGTTCCCCAGTGTCCAGCTTCTCCATGGAAGAGTGAGAAGTCAGAAGAGGCTGCTGATGTTATGGAAAGTGCATGGCCTTTAATGTGAAACAGTTCCAATGGACACAGATTTTCATCCAGGCCCCTGTGATTAGCTATGTGGCCTTGAGCAAAACCTTAGGTTTTGGGGGCTTTCATGTCCTCATGGGAAGAATGGGGATAATAAAATCTATTTCCAACAGTTATTAAAAGCATTGCTCAATTCTGTCTAGATGAACTTAGTGCCCAGAACCCCTTTTCTCCTTCCACTGTAAGCTTCAAGAAAGATATGGCAGCTTTTGTAATCATAGTAACCAACAAGTTTTTGTGCATTGTCATGGGTTAGGGAATGCTTACTTAGTGCTTTCTGTCTATCATCGCCGTTAAATCCTTACCTCAAGTCTATGTGGTAAACATTATCACACCCAGTTTCCGTTGTAAAACATGAGGCTCAAAGAAGTTCAGTGATTCATCCAAGTCGGTTCTTCTAGAGAGCATAAGAGCTGAGAGCAAAGCCAAACTTCTCTGACAGTGAAGCCTACACAAATAACCTCCTCTGCCAGCAAAAGGCTTGAACTAGGGTCTAGCCGAGGTTTCAGTGATATCTGCCGTGAGTTGAACTAAATGTTGGAACTATACAGTAGATGCTGAGTAGTCAACTTCTGGATTGCTTTCACCTGAGATCAGATTTCCAGCTTCAGAGAGACACTACATTTCTGTGGTCACTGATCTTTTCTACCCAGAAAGTTCACTCAGTTGAGTGCCTTACCTCTGAGTCTTCATGATGGGAACACCAGCTTCCAAACAGGCCTGACATGTTAGCTTCATGCATGCAGCCCCACTGCATGGTGATGAGCGAGTCAGATGAGCACTGCACATTTGGATGGACCTGAGTCAAGAAAAGCCACATGTGAAAACTCGTTTATTTCCAGAACGATGGTGCGTCTGCCAGGGTGTGACTGGCACTCATTGATATTTTTGGCATTCGTGGAAAACACCCCAGGCCGCTTAGGTAATTAATTTCCTAGGATTAGTCATTAACAGGCTTCCTGCTTTCCTTCTCCTTTGGCAGGCCCTGCTGTTAGATACAGTAAGTTCAAGATGTCAGAGGCCAGGCCGCCTCCCCTGCTTGGGCAGCACACAACGCACATCCTGAAGGAGGTCCTGAGGTATGATGACAGGGCCATCGAGGAGTTGCTCAGTGCTGGAGTGGTGGCCCAACATGAAACCCACTGACAAAGGAAAAGGGCTCCTCCTCATACCCTCCATCTGAATACACTGGCAAACTCTGCTTGGACCCTTCTCCCCAGTTCTGGTATCACTAAAAAGAAGATGTAGAGTAACTCCAGAATTCTTGCTTGGTGTCTCCAGAATGGCTCCGGTATTAATGAATCTAATGCCTTTTAAATGTACCCTACTTTTGCTCCCTGTGATTTTTTTTTCAGATAATAATTTAATTATGGATTTGTGGGATTTTTAAAAATAAAGATTTGAATTTTTTTCTGGAAAAAATGCATTCTTCATTCTAATTACATTAATGTCCTAAACATTTGTCTCCAACCCCTTATACCCCTACCCCGCCAGTCCACACAGGCCTGAAAAAGAGCAGATCTCTTGATACTTTCTACTTGTACATAAAATCTTCATTTAAATTTGTGTTAGGGAGTCAAAGCAATAAGCAGAATGACAGTCTCTGTGATTGATTTTAAATAGAATAACTTAATTCTGGGCTCTTGAACCCTTTGTTAGTCTGTAATTTAAACCATGGATTTTGGTAATGTCCATTATAAGACCGAGCTCCATTCTCCCCTGCAGGGATAAATATTTGCTTTATGTTGTATTTTTCTGGTGATTTTATGCTATGTGGCAGAAAATCAGTTTTCCCCAATGCTTTTAGAGATGTAGATATCTGTCTGCACAGGTAGGTGAGTAGTTCTACACTTGGTACCTTATTTTGAGCCCAGTGAAAATGCAACAGATTTTTTAAATGAATTAAACAGGTTCTTAAATGACTATCCAGGTATTAAATAATTTATACATGATAGCAAATAGAAGAATGATAGGAAGACACTGCTTTGTAATCAGAGCATCCACTGATTGAAGATTAGATTATGTCTTAGCTTTGAATATTTTAACGAATTTGAAGTATAAGAAACATCTCTGTTCAGTAAGTGAGAAATGATTAGGATATATTCCAGGATAGACTGTTACTCAAGACTGCTAAGCCCAGTTATAGACCGGGGATCAGATGACATGATCAGGTTATCTTATTCTGAGATCACCTCAACTCATGGCTTTTAGTGCATCTATTTTAAAGCAACGTCATTACACAGCAAGTGGTAATTGAAAACTAAACTGCAGATGTTCATCTTTCAAACTGTGATTTAAAACTCATTTTCTTTTCATATTCTTCTTTATTAGAATGATTTGAGTCCTTTATCTATGCTGTAAGGCCCATGGTGTTTCTAGAATGAAGGATTCCAAACAAATAGGAAGCTTGCCTTCTCACAAGGCCTCCTGACAGTTTTCCAAAGAATGTTTACTAATTTTTGAAACAGTTATCGCCCTCTCTGCTTTGCTTTTTGTGGACAACTTATTCTGAAGAACCTCCTGCAGTTATTCCACTAGTTAGAATCACATCATACAAGGGTAATTGATGCCTTTTGCAGTGCTTTTCCTCCATTGGCTAATTCACAGATGCATACTCAGAGACATTTACTTCAGGCCAGTTATTGAAATGACATTTCTTTATGCTTACACATTTAGTATGAAAAATGGTAAACGATTAGATGGTAGAGAATTGGCAAAACCACATGTTTTGAAAGATAGACCCAATCACTTCTTCTGATGATTTGGGTAGATATCTTGAAATGTAAATTTACTCAGTTACTGAGCAGACTCCAAATATCTGGGTAAACATATGCAGGATGATCATGATCATTCATAGGGGACAGATAATTTGTCTAAAGTTTTCAAAATTCCTCTAAAATTTTCAAATCCATATAGACTTCAGTCTTCAGACATGACGCAGTCACCGTTGAAACAGAGACTTTGTCTCTAGTGAGATAATATATGTTTAATATCTACGTCTCCACATACACAAGTCAAAATGATCCAGAACTTTGAACCTACTGGTCACCCAACAGAAAGCATTTATTATGCTCTATTGATTTAGTGATAACTTGGAATATATTTGAAGTTCAGATGAATAATTAGCCCTGAAAGAAACATCATGCTTGCTAAAATTTCTAACAATATGCCCCAGATCAAGTTATGCTTATAAACAAATGTGCTGTTTTAATTATCAGGGCCTATTATCTTACACATTCCTGAAACAGAGCACACTACTAATATACCATATGCTCAAGTTCAGTTTGTGTCAAGGCCTGCCTTCTGGCAGGTTTGTGTCTAAGGTTGGCTTAGAAAATTTTCTGAAACATAGTAGGCTAATCGTTACAGAATTGGAAATGTGTCCATAAGCAAATGAGCTTCTTTTTCTTCAACTTTTTCATGATTTTCTGATTAATCAAGCATGGTATTTTCCAGAAAGCAGTCTGATATGCTGAATGCTTCTGTAGCAGAAGAGAAACGAACATTGATCAACTTTGTGTGACTACCCCAATTACTTGGTGTGAGCATGTGTTTGATCCATCTCTTTGGGTTAGAAGTACAATCATGATTTAAGGAAGCAAACAGGGGCCAGGCATGGTGGCTTATACCTGTAATCCCAGCATGTCGGGAGGCTGAGGCACCTGGGTCACTTGAAATCAGGAGTTCAAGACCAGCTCAGCCAACGTGGTGAAACCCTGTGTTTACTAAAAATACAAAAATTAGCCTGGCCTGGTGGGGGGTGCCTGTAGTTCCAGCTACTTGGGCTACTGAGGCAAGAAAATCACTTGAACCTGGGAGGCGGAGGTTGCAGTGAGCTGAGATAGCACCACTGCACTCTGGCCTGGGTGACACAGTGAGACTCCATATCAAAACAAAGAGGGTTTTATAGATGCTAGTTTATACCAAGACATTAGGCTGGAGAGCACCACAAGGCAGGGCTTTGGCATCAAGTCTTCACAACTCCTGCCTTTGGAAAGCTTGCACTCTCTCATATCTCATCGGAGTTTGATATTTTACCACTGACTCTTCTGTGCAAAAGGTTTGGCATGTTGTGTTTTAAAGGCTTTACAGATATGAAACTTGCTGGTCCCACATGGCTCAATGCTGCATTCATGAGTAGGATTCATACTCCAGATAATGGACCTAAAGAGTCTGAGAATGAAGGCCAGGTTCAGGCTGGACAGACTGTGCAGATCTTTGGCCTCTTCTCATAACTGTTCACCATGGATTCTCAATTGGCAAAGAAGTCGAGTTGGAAAATGCACACTCTTGCCTCCATACTCTAACTCTGGACTATTCATTTTCTAACTTGTCCCCCAAGATTAGGATAGTCTCCTTGCATTTGCTTCTGTGCATGGGAGACTTCCTGATATAGTGAGTCCTTCTAATTGATGGAATTCTTGAGGTGCAATGGGCCTAAAAAATAATTGCTCATCTTGATTATAGTATGAGCGATCTTTAGGAGGTCAGGATGTCAATCTCACTCCTCTTCCTTCTTGATCTAGTGGTACTAGTACTAGTGTGTGCGTTTGATAAGGAATATGAAGAGATTCAGAAAAAAGGTACATATTTCCATTTCAGACAGCAGTAAGGGAAAATAAATAACCCACCACAGAGGCTCTTACATTGTGATCTAAAAGTTTTCTCAGGCATGGGATACAATTGAATTTCTTCTTATTATCCCAGAATAACAATACTAGGGTTAAAAGTTTCATGAATTACTGCTTTCATAAGATGCTTAAGTAGTTGCTCTATACAGACACAGCATGCCATTTTCTAAACATGAATGGCTCTGAATGCTTCTTTCTTTTTTTTTAATTGCATTTTAGGTTTTGGGGTACATGTGAAGAACATGCAAGATTGTTGCATAGGTACACACATGGCAGTGTGATTTGCTGCCTTCCTACCTATCACCTATATCTGGCATTTCTCTCCATGCTATCTCTCCCCAACTCCCCATCCCCCGAATGTTTCTTTCAACATCTCAGTTAACTAGGCTCTGTTGCTCAGACTGGAGTACAGTGGTGTGAGCTTCACTCACTGCAACTTCTGCCTTCTAGGTTCAAATTGTTCTCATGCCTCAACTTCCCAAGTAGCTGAGACTACAGGTACACACCACCAGTGCCCAGCTGATTTTTGTATTTTAAGTAGAGACAGGGTTTCACCATGTTGACCAGGCTGGTCTTGAACTTCTGACCTCAGTTGATCCACCCACCTTGGCCTCCCAAAGTACTGGGAGTGTGGAAATGAGCCATCGTGCCCAGAATAACCTAAACTTTTAAACAAGGTGGACAGTTTGCAGGACAGGCTTACATGGTGGAATTAGTAGAGCAGAAGCAACTCCACTAGACATGTTTCCCCCAACACTCATTCAAAGATATGTCTTCCAGTATTACTTTAGGAGGTTAAAGTATTACAGGCAAAGGAATGCAAATACTTTGCACTAATACATTTATTCCACACACTAGAGAAAACAAGTACAAAAAAGGAGAGATTTGGAGGAATGGCAACTGGAATAGGCAAATTTGATCAGGAGGAAAGGGAAAGAGAGCACATCCAAGAGCAGCAGATCCAAGGGCACATTTCCTTGGAAGACTCTGAAAGTCACAGGCAGGATGAACCCAGACTGACATGTTGGTGCCAAGAGGGAGGGGCAGGCACTAGAAAGAGCTCAAACACTACCGAGATCACAGAATTTACTCACCTCAATTTTTCACAAGAAGCAGCTCTTTTTTCTCATTCATTAAGACCTTAGGATGAGAAGCACAGGACAGGAAAGTCACTCTTTTGCAACATGAACAATTTTTGCCTCCCCACTCTTCCATTTCCACCTTTTCCTCCCTTTGTTCTGATTACTCCCATTCTTACCTTTCTTCCCATTTTTTGAACATCTTTCCTTCTCTCTCCTTCTCTGTGGTAAAAATCTTTTTCCTCCTGTCCTTTTATTTTCCTACTTCTCCTCCTCCTCTTTCTTCTCTCCTTTCTTCATCTCCTCATCCTTTGTTTTCTCTCTCTCTCCACACACAGACATGCACACAGAGTTATAGAGTCATATTGTACAAATGTGGATACCAAAACCTGTGTCCAACCTTCAGAAAAAAATAGGACTTGCTCAGTCATTAGGAAGATAACTAGTGGTAATTTGCACCATGATTTCACCCCCACAAGCAATCTTGAATTAATCTCCAGGTGGGGCAGATCTTTAATAACTAGCTGCCACTTCTTGTCCCTTGAAACACAGGGAAAGAAATGAAAGGGTGTTCAAATGCCATGCTGGGCTGTGGCAGAGTTCTCAGGCATATTGGCTGTATGTCACATGCCCCCAGTTCTAAGGGGGAAAACCAAAAGTAAATAAAGTAGAATGCAGAGCAGAGTCTTGACTCTTCAATCCAGCTCCAGAT